TAGGCAATACCATTTAGGACATAGGCATGGGCAAAGACTTCATGACTAAAACACCAAAAGCAATGGCAACAAAAGCCAAAATAGACAAATGGGATGTAATTAAACTAAAGAGCTTCTGCACATCAAAACAAACTACCATCAGAGTGAACAGGCAACCTACAGGATGGGAGAAAATTTTTGCAATCTACCCATATGACAAAGGGCTAATATCCAGAATCTACAAAGAGCTTAAATTTACAAGAAAAACACAAACAACCCCATCAAGAAGTGGGCAAAGGATATGAACAGACATGTCACAAAAGAAGACATTTATACAGCCAACAGACACATGAAAACATGCTCATCATCACTGGTCATCAGAGAAATGCAAACCAAAACCACAATGAGATACCATCTCACACCAGTTAGAATGGTGATCATTAAAAAGTCAGGAAACAACAGATACTGGAGAGGATGTGGAGAAATAGGAATGCTTTTACACTGTTGGTGGCAGTGCAAATTAGTTCAACCATTGTGGAAGACAGTGTGGTGTTTCCTCAAGGATCCAGAACTAGAAATACCATTTGACCCAGTGATCCCATTATGGGTATATATACCAAAGGATTATAAATAATGCTACTATAAAGACACATGCACACGTATGTTTATTGTGGCACTACTCACAACAGCAATGACTTGGAACCAGCCCAAATGTCCATCAATGATAGACTGGATTAAGAAAATGTGGCACATATACACCATGGAATACTATGCAGCCATAAAAAAGGATGAGTTCATGTCCTTTGCTGGGATATGGATGAAGCTGGAAACCATCATTTTCAGCAAACTATCACAAGGACAGAAAACCAAACACCGCATGTTCTCACTCATAGGTAGGAACTGAACAATAAGACTACTTGGACACAGGGCAGGGAACATCACACATGGGGCCTCTCAGGGGGTAGGGGGTTGGGGGAAGGATAGCATTAGGAGAAATACCTAATGTAAATGACGAGTTGATGGGTGCAGCACACCAACATGGCACATGTATACATATGTAACAAATCTGCACGTTGTGCACGTGTACCCTAGAACTTAAAGTATAATAATTAAAAAAAAAAAAAAAAAAAAGATGTCACCTCGCAGCCACTGGCCTCATTAATCCTAATCGGAGTATTTTCTTTCCCATATCACATCTTAAAAGGGAGGCCTTACTTTTGCTCCTACAGGACTACTGCTTTGCTGTATCTTCTCTAAGAAACACATCCATAATGAAGGTGTGTGCCACCTCAGGTGAAGCGAGAAGAGAGAAGCAAGTTAGCCCAACCTCCTCCTTCCTGCTGGGGAACATTCCAACCACTGATTCCTGGAGGGAAAAGGAGAGAACAAGACAACATTCTGTTTCAAACTAGAGACAGAGATGAGTGTCCCCTCCTTCTAAAAAGAAGTGTGACATCTTCATAAAGGGGAAAGGCTGTCAGAGTCCCTCACTTGTACAAGGTCCAGTGCAGGAAGCTAGAATGTGGCCACTGAGAGGTCATCACTTCAGTCCACGGACAGACAATGCCAGGCAAAATGCCCTTCTCCCAAACACCTCAGTAGAGTCTGGCTATCCAAGGAATGCCAAGTAGTTTCTTAGAACTTTCTTTGGAATCCTGAAATGGTGGCCTGAGCCTTGGATTATAAAAGAGGATTCCCCTATTTCTCATCACCTCATGCCTCATGCTTGGCTTCCTCTGCAGGACTGGGCCAGAAGATCAGATGGAAAGAGAAGGATTCACCTGAGGCAGCACACACCTTCATTATGGATATATTTCTTAGAGAAAATACAGCAAAGCAGGAGTTCTGTAGGAACAAAAATAAAGCCTCCCTTTCAGAATTCAAAGATGTGATATGGGAAAGAAAATACCCAGATTAGGATTAGTGAGGCCAAGAGCTCAGAGGTCATTTCTCTTCACAGGTGTCAGTTTAGCCTTGATTATGCTGGGGCAACCCAGCTCGACCTTGTCCTTCCATGGACCTGCGGTGTCCATGTTTCCACCAGTTGTTTGTTTCTCTATTTACTTTTAGGACAAAAAAAGTCCCCAGCTTTTATTTTGTGGTAGACCTCTCAGAAACCCATCAGCATGCCTGTGAGCTTAGCTTATGCTGCTCCTCTGCATGGAATACCTTCTCTCTCCTCTCCACGGTGACTGCCTCCTCTTCCTTCAAGGCCTAGTTGAACTGCATCCTCTGTGAAACCTCCTCCCTCTCTCCAGGAAAGGTGAGTCACTTCCACAGCACCTGTTTCTGCTCTCATCCTCACACTCAGCACCCTGTAGGACCCCACGAGCCCCTGGAGGCCCAGCAGGCAGTCTGGAATGGAAGATGGGTTTGAGTGATTTATCATGCTGCCACTGGCCCTGAGGCCTTATCTGTAAAACAGCATTCTTCTCGCCTACCTCAGAGCCACTGTGAGGCTCAAACAAAACCCCAGGGTTAAAGTGGGAGCGGTAACTTGTAAAAGAACCCCCAGGTGTCACCTCATTCATTGATTTCCTCATTCACAAGGCACCAAATGCCAGTCACTACCAGGCAGAAGCTGACAAAGACACAGTGCTGACCTTCAAGGAGCCCACCATCTAGGGTGGGAGACAGGAGCAAGCAAAAAGTCACAGAAATGCGTTTCCACGCTGATGAGGGCAAGCCCAGAGCACCAATGCAGGCTGCTGGCTCAGGGAAGCCTGCCCCAACTAGGAGATCCCTAAGCTGACTTCAAAAGGCCCCAGAAGAGTGAGTAAAACAGAGGGCATGGTGTCCTGAAAGACATTCCATGGCCAGGGGTAGGAAGGACAAAGCAATGGCACAGAGCCACAGAGCCAGCATGTTTTTATAACTGTGACAAGTTGTGTCACAGCAAGTGTGAAGCAAGATCGGGAGCAAAGTTGAGAACATATGGCGCCTGTGTGCCAAGCTAGGGAGTTACCAGGGGGGAAAGATGGTGGAGCCCCCAGAAGTTGGAAGCAGGAGTGAGTGTTGCGATTGGAAAGATCACCTTGGCTGCAGTGTGGGGAAGAGATTTTGGACAAGTCTAAGGCTCCAGGCACGGCGGGTAGGGGGAATGACAAGAGCAAATCAGAGACGAGAACTACATTTGACCCTTGAACAATGTGGGGGTTGGGGCACTGAGCCCCAAAGTCAAAAATCCACATATAACTTTTGACTCACCTAAAACTTTACCAATATAACTTGCTGTTGGCTGGAAGCCTCACCAATAATGTAAACAGCTGATTAACAAATATTTTCTGCGTTACATCCATTACATATTGTGTTCCAGCAATAAATTAAGCTAGAGAAAAGAAAATGTTACTATGAAATCGTAAGGAAGAGAAAATATATTTACTATTCATTGAGTGAAAGCGGGTCATCATGGTCTCCATCCTCATGGTCTTCACACTGAGTAGGCTGAGAAGGAAGATGAGGAGTTGATCTAGCAGCTCAGGGGTAGCAGAGATGAGAAAAAACCTGCCTGTAAGTGAACTCACAAGGTTCAAACCCATGTTGTTCAGGGGTCAACTGTAATACTGCCTGAAGACCTGCTCAACATCAGGCCACTTTACATATAAGTACCTCATCCCATTGAGATGCAAAAGTATCCCATCAGGTAGACAGTACTGGCCTCACTCGACAAATAAGAAACAGGCTCAGAGAGGTTAAGCGACTTGCCCAAGGTCACACAGCCTGCACACAGCCTGGGCAGAACTTGTGTTTGTCCCTTGTACTTTGTCAGGCTTCCGATCTGCAGGCTGACGGACAGGGAAGCAAAATGTGGAGGGACATTAAGTTAGAAGGGTTAGCAGGGGCAAAACTGGGCAGAGGGATCACAGGCCAGGCTAAGGAGCCCTTTACAGTCCAGGCTCTGAAGGTTTAAGAGCAGGGAGATGCCGTGACCAGAGCTGTTCACTATGAAGATTAACCTGGCAGAGCAGGGAGGACTAGCTAGGTGAGAGGTGGGAAACAGGGAACTACTCATCAGTTGTCTGACCAAGATTTACTGAGCACCTAATATGTGCCCCTCTCTGTTCCAGGTCCTGGAGTACCAGTAGTGAATACAACCAAGATGCCCGCCCTCAGATAGCCTGCCTTCTAGCGGAGGGACAACAAAGAGCAAAATAAACAAGCAAAATATACAGTAGGTCAGAAGGTGATAAGGACTATTGGAAAAAAAAGCAGAAAAAAAAGCAGAGCAAGGTGAGTGGCCTGTTTGTATTGGGGGCTGCAGTACTTAAATAGGGTGCTTAAGAGGAGGCAGACAGAGAGGACAACTGGGACAAAGATGAGAGGCAGGAGTGTGGCTGGCACATGAGGTTCAACCACAAAGCCAGTGTTCTGGGGCTGAGAGAAGAGTTGTGGAGTGATGGGAGGGGACACGTCGTGCCAAGCTTTGGAGACCATGATGAGAACTCTGGCTCGTACTACTTGGGGGGATGATGATGACCCAAAAATTAGGAGTCTGTTCACTGCTGAAGAGGGCAAAGGGCAGAAGCTCCATTTAAAAGGTTCTAATAAGCCTCGGGCCTTTCTCTGCCTGAGAAACTTACTTTCTGCCCTCTACTTCCCTAGATTACTGCCCCAGTGCCTGGAGGAAAATCAGGTGAAGGCTAAAAGCCACGTAGACAGCTAAAGAGGGCAAACTGGACCTCCAGCTCCACTTCTGCAGGTCTGTCTCAGTCCACACAGTCCTTGCACACGCTCCCTTTTAATTCTCCAAGCATACCTCTCACTTCCAAAACTCCTGTGACTCTGCTGATGAGGGCGTCTCGGCCTGGAATGCTCCTCCTTATCTGCACTGTGTGGGTGTCAAAAAGAGTATATTTTGATGACCTCTCCCCGCCCCTCTTGCTTGCTCACATCCCCTTCACTCCTTTCAAAGTCCGTTCCCAAAGCCCCCAGTTCACCGTCCTGGGCTGTTTTTAGCCAGGTAAGACCTGAAGTGATCCTCTCTCGGAACCTGGTCTGGGGCCTACACATCTGGGTCAGTCTGGGGGTGCTCTCGAAGGGCCACCCTCAAAGAGCGAGCCTCGGCTGGATTCAGTTCCTAGGTCCCAGCCGTCCGACCTCTGCCACAACGCTCAGCAGACCCCTTCCCCTCTCCGGGTCTCAGTTGCCCCGTGAGTACAGTCTCTGCTCCAACACGCAAGGTCAATCGTATCTGGCTGCTCTGATGCACTCGGTCCCTAACTCAGCCTTAGGTCAGCCCAGAAAGCACCCGACCCGGGGGCCCCGCAGCTCCTCACCCTCCCGCCCTGCCCAGTCGCTGACACAGGGTGGCCTCCAAGGGCAAGGCCACGACTCTTACCCGTCCGCAGGTACCCCACTGACTGGCCTCAGCTCGCAAGCAGGCTGCACCCACCGAACTCCAGCCCCGGAACGCCACCCTTTACTCCCCTCCCGCGTGAGCCGAGAATCAGCCGAGCTTCTTCTACCAAGAGGATTGGCCCAGCTCGGCGTCGGCTCAGCCAATTGGCGCTCACGGCTTGATCTTGCCCAATAAAGACAGGTCTCTGTCCCCAGCGTGCCCCTCCCCGCGCTGGGCCTGGGCTTTGCCAGGTTAGTCCCACCCTCTTCGGCCCTGCACCAGTAGGGAGCGGCGGCGGCGAGCGGACGCCCAATGGGGAGCGGGGCTGTGCGCGCGGGGCGGTGGGAACGGCGCCGAATCAGTGTACACGTCGGTTGCCTAACAACCGGCAGTGGACTCCTTTGGCTATGGTGAGTGCTGCTGCTCTGTCGCGCCCCACGCCCAGAGGCTGAGCCCTTCCCAGGCCCCAGCTCGGCCACGCCGCCTCTCCTGCGCCTTTCTTGGCTTTGACGCACCAGTCCTTCCTTTGAGCTCTTTCCCGGAAGAGTAGGGTACAGACGCTAACCAACCTACTGGGCCTGCGCTTTGCTGCTGCCTCCCCTTCACCCACAACAGGCCCACACCCGCCCCTCGGGCTCCCCTGGCCTTCCCTGATCACCTCGGTGAACCTCCCTGTGCAAAAAAGACTCGAATCCCTCACAGGCCCCTGACTTTCTCAGACCTTGGCCCCCTGGCCGCCTCATTCTGCCAAAATTTCCACACAGAGCTGGGAGAAGGTGTATTGTGTTCTATTAAAGTGTTTTTTACAATTTAAATATAGGGGCATTCAGGGGATGCTGTAGCTTCTTGGAGAAGGCACGAAGGTGTCAGATGGATTGAGTTTTATTACTCGATACTGACACAATATACATCTTAACAACTTGCTAATATTTGGCCAAATCTAGAAGTAACTGGGAAGTCAGAGTGCTTACTGGGAAGCGGAGTACTGGGAGTGGGCATTGTAAGGCAGTTTCCAGAACCAGGATCCCCACATTCGGGAAGAGCTGATTATCTCTACTTATTCGCAGTCATTTTCTTGACTAGCTCTCTTTTGGGATGATTTTCAGTAAGAGGTATCCTTACTGAACAAGTGATCTCCCTGCTTCTAGAAACGACAGTAAAGAAAAGGGAGGGATAGAAGTTCATGGAAAGATTCATTGTTCTTGCCAGTAAACCCTGTTATCTTTCTTGTTAAGCAAAGCTTTGGAATTGGTTGCTATAAAATTCTTTAAAACTACATATGGGTGTCTGTAACTATGTTATGTAAATATGGACTGTACGATATATTATTGTGCTTGTGTATTGCATAACGTATGAAGGCCTCCAACTTTAAGAAGACAAACATGGCATCAAGTTCCCAGAGAAAAAGAATGAGTCCTAAGCCTGAGCTTACTGAAGAGCAGAAGCAGGAGATCCGGGAAGCTTTTGATCTTTTCGATGCGGATGGAACTGGCACCATAGATGTTAAAGAACTTAAGGCAAGCTCTATGCATTCCTGCCGTACTGCCCTTCCTTTCCTCTGCCTCTTCCTTGTCATCTCCCTATCACCTCTCTACCCCTTTTGCCCTCTTCTCCCTGCAATAAGTAACAGGGGAGGTTGTACTGTGCTCTGTTTTCCTGTCTTTACTTAGAGTATTATTAAATAAAATTGATTGCAAATGTCAATTAGATCAATGTTATCGTGTTCCCCAATCATATTAACATGACCACATCAGATGCTGGCTTAATGCTCTCAACACTGTTATTTTTGCTGCTGCTAGTTCAGATGTGCTTATTGAGACAATCCTGTTTTCATTATAGGTGGCAATGAGGGCCCTGGGCTTTGAACCTAAGAAAGAAGAAATTAAGAAAATGATAAGTGAAATTGACAAAGAAGGGACAGGAAAAATGAACTTTGGTGACTTTTTAACTGTGATGACCCAGAAAATGGTGAGTAGCTAAGACAATTAACATGGTATGGCGCCCCAGTCATCTGCAGAGGCCCATGGCATCTGCCTGTTAAAACAGTCATGTGACCACAGAGCAGTCCAGGTAGCAGCTGCATCAGGAGGCCTGCCCTCCCATCATGTTACCTTGGGCTCCCAAAACAAGCCCTTGTACTTCTTTCTCAAGACTTCCAAGCAGATACCTCTTCCCACAGAATTCCAAACCAGTTAGGAAATAGATATGGGATAGGGAGAGATATAGGGATAGGGAGCAAACGTCACCTTGGATGGAGTGCCTGGCTTGACTGGTGTTTCTCTGAGGCCAAAATGGGCTTCCTGACACTTGCTGCAAGTCTAGACTCGAGTTACATTGTTAAAAAGGAAAGGGTGACCTGACCGGGCAGTGGCAGGGCTACAGGACATGAGTAACCATGGTGTCCCCCTACTCATGTGTTTTATGTTCTATTTGGTAAGTCTGAGAAAGATACCAAAGAAGAAATCCTGAAAGCTTTCAAGCTCTTTGATGATGATGAAACTGGGAAGATTTCGTTCAAAAATCTGAAACGCGTGGCCAAGGAGTTGGGTGAGAACCTGACTGATGAGGAGCTGCAGGTTTGTAATGCATCACACTGGAACTTAAGATTCCCACCTTTGGGCCCTCTGTGACTTTTCTGTTACATTTTCCCTAGTGTGAGCACTTCTTTGAAGGAAAGCCAGTGTACTTTGTCCCTCTGTGGACAACTTAATTCTCCTTTAATAGTCAGACAAACCTATGAACCGTGCTTCCAGAAAAATGCACATATGCACAGTTTTGCCTACTATTTTACATTCCAGGAATCCCTCTAGTCAAGGTAATCTTCAAGCTCCCTCCCAGGTGATAATGTTTGACAAAGTATGAGTTGGTTTTCAAATAAGTTTTCAGGAACCAAGCTATTATCAGGAGTGGCATACTGGCATTGGGTGGACTACAATTATCTATTCACATAGTGTTATTAAAAGTCTATTGCTTGCCAGGCACAGTGGCTCATGCATGTAATCCCAGTACTTTAGGAGGCTGAGGCAGGAGGATCGCTTGGGGCCAATAATTTGAGACTAGTGTGGGCAGCATAGAGACCCCGTCTCTAAAAAAAGTCATATTACTTAGTCACCTTTTGGCATTAGTTTATAAATTAATCTAACCTGAATCTTTACTGTCATATAGGAAATGATTGATGAAGCTGATCGAGATGGAGATGGAGAGGTCAGTGAGCAAGAGTTCCTGCGCATCATGAAAAAGACCAGCCTCTATTAAGATCAGTGTCTTCTTTTTCTACTGCAAGCACATGTAACTAGATTAGTGCCTGCCATTGTGTGAAATCTGGCTTTTGAGAATACAAACTTTTCCCCCACTGACCTCCCTTTATCACTTTAATAGTGACCTTGAGTCTATTTTAGCTGTTTGGAAGTGTTCTTTGATATTACAGTTCTTTGTAAAATGACCTGCGAATTACCCTAATTCTCAAAAGCAAAACAAGAGCACATTAGCGTGAAGAAAAGGATCTTAAAGCTTTGAGCACCTGCCATTTTGCCTTGCATTGTTTCCCTCTTATCATGCATTTCCACATATCCACAAACACAGGACGACTTTAGACAAGCACATGTTACACTTGTGTCACCACAAGCAGTCATTCTTGAGTGGCTCCAGTTTTTATTTGACACTTGAGTTTAGTTTTCTCTTTAATAAAACCCAGTGAAGTCTTGCACTGGCATTTGGATGTATGTTAATGCTATTTGTTTTGTCTTAAAAATAAAACCTTTCTCAGTTTGAACTTGTGTTCTCTAAGGATGAGTTCTTTAGCTTTGCTTATGAGTTCCTCTTCTCGACTATTGTGTTGAAGGCAGCCTGTTAGATACAAAACTCCTTACCAGCCTATGGACAGAAATGAATAATCCTTTGCTACTTTCCTGGCGTGAATTGTTTTTTGCCTTGGGAACCTGCTGGTTTGTAAAACTAGCAGAAATTTTATATTAGCTAAGCCTAAATGATGCTCTAAAAATAGTTTTGGCAAAGTGTAAGACTGGAAAAGAGTCTTGTTAGTAATTTGTGCTTGAATAAAATGGGGAGAGCCAGGCTAATCCAACACTAGGATGGATTCAGCCAACCTCTCATGAATTTATTTGCTTATGGTGTCTCATCGACTCTTGGAGGTGGGTTGGGCTGAGGGACCCTGTCCAGCCATCTTCCTGGCCTTGCACGGGATTACCTGTGAGAGAAATCCTGGTAGATGACATGAAAGTCTTTGCTCCAGGTTGAGAGCGGGGAGACAGAAGGGGTAAGGGAGAATAGAAAATGAACAATGATGGAATGCTCATTTGTTCACGTGGAGACAGAGAAAACAGATTTTCAGACTTCTGGGGGTAGGCTAGTCCCCTGGGGATAGGGTTGCACTGATTTAGCTAATAAAAAGAAAGCCTAGGTAAATTTGTATTTCAGATCAACAATGCATTTTTTTTTTTTTAGTATGAATATATCCCATTTGGATTTTTTGTTTATTCATTGTTGATCTTAAATGCAAATTTACCTGAGCATCCTGTATTGCCACTGGTAACCCTACCTGGGGAGCACGTTACAGAGGCCAGAAGCCTGGCCCTGGGTCTCATGCCTGGACCCTGACATCCTGTAGGACTTGGGGGCCCAGGAATATGAACTTTACCATATCCCGCAGAGGAGTCTCATGCAGAGGGACTGCTCCTTAAGAAACACTTGGGGGAAGAGCCCAGACTAGCCCCATCACTGGGTTCTCACACACATACTCACCCACTTCCGCGCCGGGCAATTTGGGCCAAGCTACTTCTCTAGGTGCCTGGAGTTTCATGTCTGTGTGATGGGGAGAAGAGTTGTGCCTACTCAGAATCACTGGAGGTGAAATACAAACTTACAGAAAGGACCTGGCTTGAAGGTGTTCAAGAACAAGAGGATTCAGAAGTGTTCAGTCTCACTCCCACTCCTTTGCTATAGTTATCACATAAGCTTTGTTGTTAAATGTGGGTCCATGAAGCTTTTATCATTACTGTCCCCAAAGTCTGTTGATAGCATTTCCTAAGAGGATTTGACCTTTGTCGTATTGTGATTTTCTAATAAGAGGCATATGATTGGATAAAAGACATAATATTAGAAAGGAGTGAAAAGACTGGGCCCTGCCTCCGATTTTACTGTTAACTGTAACCCTGGAAACACTCATTTGAAAAAAAGTTAATTAAATGAGATCATGTCCTTTGCAGGGACATGGATGGAGCTGGAAGCCATTATTCTCAGCAAACAAACCCAGGAACAGAAAACCAAACACTGCATGTTCTCACTCATGAGTGGGAGCTGAACAAAGAGAACACATAGATACAGGGAAAGGAACAACACACACAGGGGCCTGCTGGTGGCAGCAGGGGTTGGTGGGGGGAGGGAGAGCATCAGGATAAATAGCTAATACATGTGGGGCTTAATACCTAGGTGATGGGTTGATAGGTGCAGCAAACCACCATGGCACACATTTACCTATGCAACCAGCACATCCTGCACATGTATCCCGGAACTTAGGAAAAAAAAAAAAAAAAAAAAAGAACAGTTTCAGGGATAAGGAAAAAAAAAGTTAATCAAAAAGAAGTTTTAAAATTGACATTGTATATATTTATGGTATACAATATGATTTGAAACATGTATACATTGTCGAATGGCTAAATTAAGCTAACGGACTATCCTGGACACATTCTTACCTCCTCCTGCTTAATATTCCCACAAATGAAATCTCTCAGGAATCTCTTGAGAGAGGACAGAGAGTGGCAAGTAATAGGTTATCCCTGAGGATAAAAACAAACATAAGGTGTTCACCATAGCTATGCCTGGCAGCCATTCTAAGATAGGTGTGCAGTTGTTCAGTGGAGGGGATGGGGACAGAGAGGGAGCATGAGTCAGTGGGGCTGAACCAGAGAGCTGCAAGGGGATCAGGAAGATGGGGAAGGAGAGGGAGCTGGGCTCAGTTCATGTGGAGGCAGAAAAGAGTCCTGAAGGTGGGAGAGGATGTGGATGGAGAAGTAACTGAGGTCAGTTCACGTGGGGCTGGACCAAGAGGTGGTGGGAAATTGCAGAAGATAGGAACAGAGAAGTAAAAGAGATCTTCCCATGGGGTGTCCTGGAGAGGTGCAGGGGAGAGGGGGTAGGGGGAAGGGAGTGAGAGAGAGCAGGGATCAGTTCATGTGAGGATGTAACTGAGTTTTCGTGGGAGTATCGGTGGGTGGGTTTGTAGAGTTAGTGGCTTATTCATGTGGACAATAGAGTTGTGGGGGAAGGAGGGGAAATGTTGACAGTTCATGTGGGGCTGGCCCAGGGAGCTGGAGGGGGATGGAGTGGCGATGGACACTTAGAGGGAACAGAGGTCAGTTCATGTAGGGTGTACCAAGAGATGCAGAAGGTTGAATGGGATGACATGGGAGAGGCATTCGAGGCCAGCTCCTGTGCAGCTGCACTGGAGAGATGTAGAGAGTCAGAGAGGGAAAGGAAAAGCCACTGAGGACAGCTTATGTGTGGCCGTATCTGCAGAGGTAGCCGGAGTATGGGGCAAGGGAAAGGAGAGGGAATGGAGCTTAGTTCATGTGTGGCTGGACCAGAGATGTATGGTGGGGAAGGGGAAGGAAAGGAGATGGAGCTGAGTTCATGTCATGGAGGGCTGGACCAGAGAGACGTAGGAAGAGTGACTGGGTAAGTTTTAAGGGGTGTGGAGGTGGCATATGATTGGATAAAGACATATACTATTGGAGAGGAGTGAAAAGACTGGGCCCTGCCTCCCATTTTGTTGTTAGGGAGGGAGAGGCAGGATAAGTGAGTTCAAATGCCAGTCGCGTACAGAGCTGCAGGGGACAGGCAGGGAGACAGAGGTAGCAGGGGTCAGCCCCTGTGGGTGGACCAGAGAGACGTAGGAGGAGTGGAGTGGGTTTGGAATGGAGAGGTAACAGAGGTCAGTTCACGTGGGACTGCAGCAGAAGGACACTGGGGAGAAGATCAGAAGTAAAGGGGCTGAGGTCAGTTCATGCAGTGCAGGATGGAGCAATATAGGGAGGTGGTGGGGAAGGGGCAGGAGTGAAAGCAGAGGGCAGTTCATGTGGGGCTGGACCAGAGAAATGTCGGTTGTATGTGGGGATTGGGCTGGAGAGAGGGCAAAAGTTCATTCATGTGCAACTGCGGCAGAGAGCAGTAGTGCAATGGGGGGAGGCAGGGCACAGGAGAGAGCAGAGAGCAGTTCATGTGGGGTTGGACTGGAGAGCTGCAGGAGGGTGGAGGTGGAATTGTGAACTAGAGAGGCCAGAGATTGCTTCATGTGAGGCTGAACTAAAAAATTCAGTCAGAGTTGGAGAAAAAGGGGAGGAAGAGGGAGCAGGGGTTCCTTCATGTGGGGCTGGACCAGAGGGATGTCGGAGGGAATGCAGGCCAGTTTCCTAAGGATGGACCAGAGAGCCGGAGGGGAGGAAGGGTAGGGGGAGGGAGAATACTCAGTTACTGTTTGGTCTTGTGGGCCTCCTTAATAACTTCGGGTTGTGCTAAATTGCCTTGAAAAAACTGTCCAGTAGATTCGTCTTTTCTTTACTCCTAAGTGTTAGAACTACTGTGAACAGTAGAATTTGTTGCTCAAGCTTGATATAACGAAATGATTTAAGAAAGGATGTGGTTCAGTTTCTGTCTCTGTAAGACATGGAACAGCTGCTGGGACAGACTTTTTTAAGTTCTATGATGACCGGGAAGAGAAGAAAGAACACGTTTAACCATTTTTCTTGTTTAACCACCTCTTCAGGAAGTCTAGGAGTTAGACCGTTAGGTTAGACCCAGTTATCTCAGGGACCACGTGGCTCCCCACCATACACTGGGAGAAATTTCCTTAAAGTTCAATCTGGCTTTTGAGAATGCTGATCTTTCAAATGCAACCTCAAGTGCCAGGATGTCTGACTGTCATTGGGTCAACCTCAAAACTCGATCTTAGAGCAGCTCTTCCCTCGAGGGACTCCTGCTTTCAAGGATGACTGTATTCCAGGGCTGCTCAACTTTATTTTATGTTTTTGTCACACCTTTGAATACAGTGCAGGAGCTACCCTTTTTTGAGCTCCCCCATCACCATTAGTGAGAAGTATCTTACAGCAGGTTGCTCCTTTCTCCACTCCATGTCTCATGACCTGCTTAGTTCATCGTCCTACATGCTGGAAGCTGCTGGAATGGCCACATCTTCAGTTGTAGCAAAAGTAGTGCATCTGCATCAACTGCAGCTGTGCCATGCTGGGACATGTCGGACCCATTTCCTGACCCAAATCTCTGTCAGCAGCCCCCCAAATTCTTCTGTGGGTTTCTGGACTCATTTCGAAGAACATCGCCATCAGCATTTGCTGTATCTGGAGCTAAAGTTACCCTCATTTCCAGCTTTTCCCTGCGGCCTCCCAGTCCTCCGGTCTTCCAAGCCTCTCCTTAACCACCACCTTTTGCCTTTATCTTTCTGATTGCGTCGGTTTACAGGATTGATGTCATTTTCATTTTCTTTTTTGTCTTTGCCTCATATGTCACCCAGACTTTCCCTACAGTATTCACACCCATCCACCCCTTCCTTTTTCATTTCTGAAGCCACCACCTCAACTCAAATTCAGATTGCTGAAATGTCCTCCTAGTTGATTTCCCTGTCCTGTCTTTTCCCAAGACATTCTGCAGTACTGTCTTTGTCATGCCATTATTTTGCTCAGGGAAGAGACCTAGCCTTTCGATTCAGTCACCCCTGGTTCAAATCCCAACTCTTCAACCCAGCAGCT